ACACACACACACACACACACACACACACACACACACACACACACACACACACACACACACACACACTTCCTGTTTTGTGGCGCCCCTGTGTAGATTAAACTTACAGCAGCATTAGACATCCAAAAGCTTTTATTTTGGTAAGACTGAAGAGAGAAGAAATGTAGCAAAAATAGCAGAAAAAATAAAAAAGCTTGCATTATCAGAAAAACAAAAGTACAAAAAAGTTGTAATTTGTGATAAAATAGCAGCAACAAAAAAAGGCTGAAATTAGCTAAAAAATTGCTGAAGAAAATTAGCTTAAAAACTTTAATTAAACAAAGAACCGGAAAGTTTGCTGAATTAAGCAGTAAGAAGTTGAAATTGCCACAAAATGGTGACGTTAGTAGAAAAAAGCTTAAATTTACTGAAAAGTAGCCTAAAAGGCAGAAAACAGCTTAATCATAAAAATGTTGAAAGAAGTGGCCAGAAAAAAGCTAAATAACTGAAAAAAGTATTAGTTGCTAAAATAAAAGTCATAAATGAGCTGGATGTCTTTATATAAAATGTTGAAACAGCACAAAAATTGTGGATCAAGTTTTGTGTGGAAAAATGTCTGTGGGGAAAACAGATTATTTCAAACAGCTGTTTTGAATAAATTGTCTTAAAAGGCTCTTTAGTTTATGGTAATTATTTAATACATATATTAAATAACCATATATAGATTTATTGGTTAACTTTTCTAAGATTGTATGAAGCCGTTTTTCTCTTGGGGTAATTGATTTTTTTTAACATGGGGTGTCAAACTTAAGTCAAGGGCAGCTATCCTGCATGTTTTCCTTGTTTCTTTGCTTCGACACACCTGATTCAGTGCTTCAATGAACTCCTTAAATTCTGTAGAGGCCTGTTAATCTTCCATTCATGCAAATCGAGTGTGTTTGAGCAGGAAAACAAGAAAACATGCAGGACAGCAGCCCTCGAGGACCGGAGTTCGACACCTGTCATGTAATCTATATTTCCTAAATATTACCCATTGACTCGAACTTTTCTAGAGCCTTGTTTTCCCCTATTTTTTAAGCTTTTTAATTAAAAGTTTTAACATTTATTCCAACCTTATTCGCAACCATTTTTTTCACTGTTTATCTACATAAAGGTTCTCTTTTTTAACCATTAATCTCAGATTATGGAATTGTTTTTCATGATTGCCTGTAAGTATTTATTATCTGAATGACACTTTGAATGTCAATTTGTTTTTACAAATATTTGTATACATTGTTAATACTAATACTAATTTTCCAATTGGTTGTCTGTTTTTACTTTTTTCATCCCAAAATTAAATTTTTACCATTGACTTTGAAATTTAATGTAATTCTGCTTATATTTTACTTATTTATTTTGTGAATTTTTATTGAATATTTTTTCTTCTTTTAACAAATAATTCAAATCCATTAGTGGTTCCCAAAGTTGAGGTCTGGACTCTGTTATGGATCCTGAAACATCAAGGTGGGGTTTCAGCTGAATTACTGCCTAACTGTAAATTCATGCTAACTTAATATCTCCATAGAATAATCGTCTCATTCATTTTTATTTTTCAAGAAACACATAAAACTTAACCAAAACCTGAACACTGTGTTTGTTTTTGCTCACCAGTGACCAGTGCTAGGGTGCATATGCAGGAGAAGGTGGAAACATCCAGGTTCATCCTTTGCAGGTTGGAGGAGAACTCAACAATGCTGTCGATCCACTCCCCGAAGCCCCGCAGGCACTGCAGCCGATGCCACACCGAGCCATCGCAGAAGATCAGCTTTCCTTCCTCCGGGTTTGATCTAAAATGTCACGACAGCCAAGAGTGACGAGCTGGCACCGAAACCTGATGGGCTTCCCGTGCACCCACCGGCAGACATACATCTGTAATATTTACATCATAGGCCCAATAAAACGCAGTGAAGGTCCGCTTGGTCTGCAGGGTGAGCTCTTTACCTGTACGACAGCCGTAAAACAAAAAGCTCCAGGAAAGCGGAGTAGAAGAGGAGGTCTTGGTCGTGTTTAGGTAGAGAGGCGAACCCAGGGACTCTCTGTGCCCAACCTCGAATGACTTCCATGGATCTGGTCAGGAGGTCGTAAAACTGACGGACATGTTGAGCATCGTCTCCAAGAAGACTTCCTGGACTCTCTTTGAACTGCAGGAAAAGTTCACAGAAATGGAGAAAAAAAATCAACTATTACAGCCATGGCTAATGAATGTTAAGAGAGATTCTCCAGTTTTGGCTTCTCTCCATTGGCTCCTTGGAAAATACAGGATGGATTTTATATTTTCCCCTCTAACAGCTCTGAACAACCAAGCTCTGTTTTACATTAAAAAGCTTGTCATTCCATATTTTCTTAAAAGAGCACTTCACTCTCTGACTGCAGGTTTACTTGTGGTTCCTAGAGTTTCTAAAACTGGACTGAGAGCTGTCCGTGTGGCGAACACTCGTCTACTTTTAAGACTGGGGTTAAGACTTTACGTTTTTAAAAAAATCCTTACGGTTGGCTTGAGTTTCCCATGTGATGCGATTGGTCAGAACTTTATGGGCGTGTTTGTTTTTGTGGAATAAAATGTGTTTTTCTGTGTGTGTTATTTCACTCAAAAAGTTCCACTCCCAGAAACTGGTTGATAAAGTAGCAGGAGGGAGTTTCAACCAGCAGCTCGTCCATGTACTTCTTCTTCAACACCAGAGATCTTCTTCCTCTTCATCATCCAACAACCTGTCTTCCAATGTTGGATACATCGTCGACTGAAAAAAACAACTTCAGTCTATCTTGCATTGTTGTTTAAATGGTGTTGTGTGGCACAATGGGAGAGCTGGGGGTGAATTATGATGCTTTATCCCTCGTGTCTTCTCATGAACAAAGATGTAATGATGCCTCCCTTTTTTGAAGTATAAATCAGCCTTTAGATTGAGGGCAAACGTCCTCGCTCCGACTCTCTTTACTTGTTCTGTGCTCCATGTTTAAACACAATATTATTTCTATCATTAAAATGTATTTGTTTTCTTCCCATTTAGAAACTAAACTTGGACCACTTCCTGTTTTTTGTCCATGTCTCTTTCCTGTACGCTCAAAGGCAGATGGATTGGTTCTGTTGGAGGTTCCATCTATCCATCCATTTTCTGTACACGCTTCTTCCTTTCAGGGTCACGAGGGTCACTGGTGCCCATACCCAGCAGTCACAGTGCGAGGGGCGGGGTACACTCTGGACAGGTCACAAGTCCATCACAGGGCCTGTTTGAGGTTTTGTCCTGTTAAAAGGGAGTTGTTCTTGCACTGTCACCATGTTGCTGCTCAGGATGGGGCATCGGGACAAAGTGAAGACAACTTTTACTGACATTAATTTTATAATGCAGTATATGTGAGTGTAATTGTTGATTAAATTTGATTGTAAATGGGTTTGGATGTATCTGAACTGAATTATGGTTTGAACTTGTTTTTCTATTGGCATGATGACCTGAGAGTAATTGAATTGGGGCAACAGAAATACTGAACTGATTGATCTTAAGTGTTCATTTAGGCCAAATATAATATGACCTGGCAACAGATGCTTACTTTGGAGTAGTCGAGGCGAGATGTTGAGGGGTTTGACTCCACGTGAGCTCTGATGATGGCACTGAGGAGGGCGCTGCCATGCAGAACCGAATCTGGAGGAGCTCTGGGTTTGGACGGCAGACGACCCCTTCTACCTTTCAGTCCGTCTGTCCTCACCACTGAAGAACATAACCAATTAAAGATTGGAAAACAATGCCAACACAGATGGTGATGTTGTTTCAGCAGTTACCTTCTTTGACCATTCCCACAGCCAGACACTTCTGGAAGCGACAGTACTGACACCGGTTCCTCCTGCGCTTGTCTACGAGGCAACTTTTCGCAGCCAAACACACGTACTTGGCATTTTTTTGAACGGTGCGCTACACAGAGAGAAAGAAGGTGTCTTCAGGGGCATGTTGGACAAACAGATAAGACTGTAAAACCATCAGGCAGTTCATGACAAAACCTCCTATTCTTTGACCTTTTGTTTCAAAACATGCCTTTTTAAAATTATTTTAAACATCTATGCATTGTAAAAAAAAAAAACAATAATAACTGTATCACCCATGAAGGTTGTTTGAATTTTAATCAATAATTTTATCAAGTAAATGTAATTTTTACTTGTTGCTAGCATTAGGTAGAGATAAATACATTGGGTCAAGAATACAGATGTGTGTGTGTGTGTGTGTGTGTGTGTGTGTGTGTGTGTGTGTGTG